AGGGTCTGTACGAGTCTCTTGCGCAGCTCATCCTTCCGAAGGTGGACCATGGTGTGCGTCTGTAGAACTGTTTCCGCAGGGAACCGTTTCTGTGGGCTGCGGTGTTGTGTGGACTTGTGGGCTAGAGGGACTATATACATGCAAGTCCATTACACAGGACAGGGCAAGATGGGAAGGGGACAGGCTGGGGCTGGGACCAGCTCTCCCCATGCTTTCATGGGCTGGAGCACAACTTCAGGAAGATGAAAATTCTAAATTCAAAGAGAAGGATGGAGTAAAACCTGGGTTAGCAAAGGCAGAAGAAACACTTGGGCATTGAACACTTCACCCAGCCTCAAACTCACAAGAACAGAGCCCGCAACCTCATGTTCAGGCAGTTCTAACAAGTGAAACTCAGCTTTTGTTGAAACCCAGCTTTTGGCTGCAAATCCCAGCCCTCCCATTTACTAGCTGTGTTGTCTTAGGAAAGCCACTTAATTTCTCTGATCCCCACTTTCCTCATCTGTAAAAGCTGAGGGATATAAATGAGATAAATCAGGCGATACGTGTGGAGTGCTAAGCACAATGCCTTGCGTGGAGTTAATAAATGGTTTTTGTGTTAATTACTATACTTAATAAATGTGATTTGAGGGCTTTTCCCACTAACAGCCAGGCCTTCCTGATGGTCACAACCCTAATAATGCTGCCAGTCATCGGTCTGTTAACTGCTGTGTTGCTTCTCTCTTCCATGTTTGACTCCTTTGTGGGAGACGTGCTCGGTCACGACTTTAGGACTTGGCTGACTAACCCTCAAGAGTTGCAGGTGTCCATAGCAGGACGGAAGGTGCTTGGTGATGCACTTAGTAAGGCACTGGGCTGCTAACCAGAAGGTCGGTGGTCCAAACCCACCAGCTTCTCCATGGCAGGAAGATGAGGCAATCTACTTCTGTAAAGACTTACAGCTTTGGAAACCCTATGGGATCACTCTGAATCGGAGTCAACTCCAAGCCGATGGGCTTTTTTTTTTTTTTAAAATAGCATAGCATGTCGGTCACTTTGGGAAGCAGCCATAATTGCCCTTGCACAAACACTTAACAGTTCAATGCCAGCGGAAGAGAACGCTGTGTGGTTAAATTGACCAGTGAATGCTGTATCTTCCAGGTGGAGATGGCTGTCCTCTCTGCCTGCAGCTACTGCTTCCGGGGTTATTACTGATGCTAGTAGTGCTAGCCCTGATCCTGGCCTGCTGGATACAACCAAAATACAAAGCAAGTAAGTTCTTCAGGCACTTTACCATTTCCCCCCATGGGTGATGGATACAGAAAGTAGGGGCAGAGGCGGAGACAGAGGATGAGCAAGAGGGAAAGGGGAGTCAGAAATGGGATGGGAAGAAAATAAAGGGGCGGGAAAGAGGAGAAGGGGGGTGGCTGAAATAGACTTTCCCAACAGTTCACACTGGCGGAGTCCTCATTTTGCCATTGAAGCCTTTCCTGTTTAGGTGGCTTCTTGGGCGCGTGACCTGTGCAGTCCCAGGGCCTCACACTAACCAGGTCCCTGTATTTGATCAAATGCTCTGCCATCCCCATCTTGAGATTCCTTTTTTTAAAAAAAAAAATTTTATTGTGATTTGGGTGAAAGTTGACAGAGCAAATTCACTTTCCACATAGCAACTCACATACACTTTGTCTCATGACATTGACAGCAATTTACTACAATGCAACAGCTCCCCTCCCACTAACTCCCCATGGTTGCCTGTGTCCTTCTCCCCATGCACTCCTGTCCCCTGAGCTATGTCCCTGTACATACACAGCCCTTCTATTCTCCCATGATTGATCTCTCCAAGGAGTGTATCTACCTCAAGTAAATGTTCAGCTCATATGCCTGTTTTTTGTTTGCCTGGAAGCCACAGGAGTGGGTTCAATTCCAGATCTGAAGGGCAACTAGGGGCCATAGTCTCAGTGGTTCCATCAGGCTCTATCAGACCAGCAAACCTGGTCCCTTTTTTTAAAAAAAAAAATGATTTTGAGTTTTGTTCCACATTGTTTTCCCACTCTATGCAGGATCTCCTACAGAGATCCCCCTCTGAGTGGTTGACAATAGTAGCCGGATACCATCTAGTTCTTCTGGTCTCATAATCATATAGGCTGAGGATCACACCAGTCACTTGGACTCATTGTTTCCATGTGTCTTTGGTTTTTTTCATTATTCTTTGTTTTGGATGAGGAGAGACCCATCGTTGCATCTAGACGGCCACTTGCAAGCTTTGAAGAACCCAGTCACTACTCGCCAAAGAAGGATGTGGAACAATGTTTTTGTGTAGTATGTTATGCCAATTGAGCTTGATGTTCCCTGTGACTACGGTCCAGAGCCCACAGGTCCAACTACTCGGTCCCTCTGGGTTGCTGGTTGTGGCCAAGAAGTGACTACAACCTTGCCCCTTGTCAGCTCTACTATACACCTGGGAATTCTTACAGAACATACAAATACATTTGTAGAACCATAGTATGCCAACCCTACACATGGTCTTGGGCACACTGCTCCCTGCATAGACATACCTCATACTTCAGCCTGTCCATCCATCTTTCCATCTGTATACCAATGTTTGCCTTCACTGACAATGCACTACTATATGTGCAAAAGGGTTCATCTTTGCTGTCTGTACCTTCCACGTACCTCTATCTTCCTCTTCCTCAATGCCACCATATTGATTACTCACATTTGGTACATTGCCCTTCTCTTCACCCACATCAATACTTGTCTCTACCTATCTAACAATGTTCCCTCCGCTCCCCTCCCACCCCTGGTAACCAACAAAGAAAATTTCCTCATCTTGAGATTCTTACTAACTTTTTTTAACATGAGGCCCTGCATTTTGATTTTGGACTGGGCTCTGCAGGTTACATAGCCCATCCCAGTCACAGACTCCTCAGAGGCAAGACCTGGTACTCTTCAGCATCCTGTCTGGACCCACATATGCTAGCTTCCTGTAGCTGCCATAACCCAGTACTGCGCACGGGGAGGCTTAAAACAGAAGGTGTTGTTGCTGCTATGTGCCATCAAGTCGCACCCAACTCATAGCAACTCCTCTGAGGCAGTATCACTACGAAGTAGATTGCCCAACCTTCCTTCCGAGGAGTGGCTGGTGGGTTTGAACCGCCAGCCTTCTGGTTAGC